CCGCAAAAAGGGTTCTCATGTGGTTTTCAAAAGTGAGTTCAATTCGGGCTTACTGAAGCACCTACACGCTTGCAGACGTACTCGCACGTTTTTCGCCACTTTCTGCTGCCATCAGTTACATCGCAATCAGTCGGGGCGTTTCCAAGTAGGTTGGAATGAGCCTACTGGCGTCATTTCCGTCACTGGTTGTTTTCCTCCCGAATCGATCACTGACCGATCACCTTGGTAGATCAAGGCAGCCGGAGGCGGGCTCATTCCGCCGCCGCTCGTCTGATTGCAATGACTGTAGATTTTTCATTACACCTGAATCAAAGGATTTCAGTACTATTTTCAAGAAAGTGTTATGGAAAAAAGACTCACGTTAATGAAAAATCTAAATATCTTCAAGGCTTTTAAACATTTAAGCGCGAACAGGAATCGCACATTTTGAAAATCTCAATAATTTTTACGTTCTGAAAAAGAGCTTTCTCAAGTTAACCAGAATCTGGGTGATATTCAACTATCACATTGCTTACTAGAAAGGTCACAGTTGACCAATCAGGTCAAGGCTGCCCACTGGGCGGTACTCTCGTTGGCTGTTTTCCAATTTTTCCGTCAATGGAAGAAATTGTTCGGTTGAATATCTCCTCTAATTCACTCAAACGGCTGACGATAAAAATTTTTAATTCACGTTCAGGTGACTTATCGCGTGCGTCGAACCGATCACTCGCAATGGATGAATCCACGAACGAGTTGGATTTTCACCAGAGAGGGGCGGATGAGAGGTATTATCCACGAATAGTTTCTCCAGGGCTACCCTATACTTACGTTGGATCGATTCTTTGAGAGCTGCCGCTATGTTGGGATCCATTTCAGGTCGTTAGAAGAGGAGACACCGACCACCGGACGGCCGCCCCTCGGTGATGTACTTGCGTCCGGAGTTGGTTTTGATTTCTCTTGGACTTACAAGTTTACGATTTTGTAAATAGGAGTTTTAGAGCTATCCTCCTTCTCCCCGTCGAATAATGTCGTCATCGACACCACTACAAATGTCATCATCGGCTACAACAGCTCATCAACCGATAGCCTACGCTATGTCATCCTCTGGACCTCCGATGATGGCATCCTCGGCTCCTGTGATGACGTCATTCAGAGATCTGGCCAGCGGATCGCCCATGACAAGTTCCGCGTATTCTCTTGGCGGGAGAAGCGAGGTCACTGATATACCGGAGGAAGATGAGGATGCACATGTGGAAAGACGTCAAAGTCGAGGCGAAAGTAAGCAATAAACGATGTCATTTGTTCTACTGCTTTCTATTGAGTATGAAAATCCTGTTGAATTCAGTTTAGA